TTCCCGCCCATATTGCCCATAAATCCATTACAAATAGCAAGATTTACAGCTCGAGGTCATTTACTTGTTTGCTAAATTAGGTAAAAGAGAATCCCTTTTCTGTGCAATTTTAAGTTACGTGCCCAGTACTAATTGTTAGTTCTTAGAAGTACTCCTCCAATTTTAAAAGAAACATATCAGAAACATCTCTAACCCCCTGCAACGAAGTATAATTATCCCATGGTCGATGCTGAAAAAGTTTCTTGCCAATTTAAACGAGCATTCCACTTAGCACGGCACTTATCGGACATCTTAGGAAAAGAATACCAGAAATAATTTCAATCTTTTACAACAAACTGTAATTATCCCGACACTGTTGCTGAAAAAGTTCCTTACTCGTTTAAAAGAAACATACCACTTATCGTAGTATTGATCGGACAATCGATGTGATTGAAGATTATATCAGAAGATACGTGTGTACAGTATTCTCGTTCCAAGATGTGTGAATTATTCGTTAAGACCGATATAACCGAAGATACTCGTAATACTGCGATAGATTTCCTGTATTTTTCCAACGTGCACTCAGGTTCAGAAATCTCCGTGTGATCCAAGGTACGAGTAACCGATTCGTATAGATCAATGAGTAACGAATCCGAGTTAACTCGGCAAGTCACTGTCATCTCCCGATCCGATTATTGAGTTGAATAATGAGCAATCCAAGTTGACGATTGATTTCTCAGCACGCGTGCCATACATGAACTTTTGATTTCTAAGTCACGATAAATGTATCAGAGCTAGTTGACCTGTTTCTTCGACGCATCTGAGCAATCTATTCTTATTGCTCCATCTCAAAGATCATCTCGAGACATTTGAAAATGAAATGTTTACAATAAAACGAGAATTTACTCCAAATTTTTGACGCACGCGGTAGCAATAGAGATAGAGACTTTCATTGTAATTTGACAGGCTAATAAGATTCGAACGCTTCCTGTTAGTTTGGTCGTTATCGTCGTATCGATTGGAAGTAACCAATGAAACTCACGTGACAGCGTTCTTTTGAGTATGACAGGAACTTATCGAGTAAAATTTGTCAGTGAGATTAAAGTCTACGATACACGTGTGAAAATAGGTTCAGGTCGATCGATTGGAGAGCAATTTGGACTCGATCTCGTTTTCAACTCGGTATTGCATAATTTATGAACCTGGTGGAATCGTAAATCGAACGGTAATCGAACAACCACGCGAAGTTCATACTGTTTGAGTGTTTTTCCGTCTATTGGGAAATAACCTGCTCAACTAGTGTCTCCGTTCATCCGCCTGCACGCGATATATGCCTATCTCTATTTCCAGACTATCGATTTCTAATTTTTCATCAATTTCGTTAACAATTTACTCGGTATTCAGACGCATTAACATTTAGTTATTCGTCCCCGAGGTTTCACTTGTAAATGTTAAAAGTTTCGACTTTCGTTTTATTATCAAGACGTATTCGGAGAGTGAAAGGAAAATTACATTTGCAGGAAATTATTTTGAACATTTATCTGCAACAGTTGAATGATCCCCAAGGTCAGTCGACTTGCCAGTCGAGTTCTCTGATCGAGTTCTCTGACCGCAACAAGATTTCCTTGTCTTTAGTTGATCAATTATGATAATTCGCTCAAACAGACCAGTCTAAATAATGTCATAAATATCATTCATCGTCAGTTCTTTGCATTTTCATTAAAAGATAAGGGAGTAGCCCGATATGGTAACTCAATTATTATTACCCAACGTTAAATCATCTGACCTAGATTCTTTTTTTGCGAAAAAGGATAAAATTTCCAAAAGGAATACCTTGCTGCTCGAGTGGGAGAAACCTGCTCGACTTGTAATCAGGTAGAGATCACGCGTCGATACGATGTTTCCTCCGATCATATGTTTCCTTTTCACTTATGCAAGTAACTTAGAAGGACATAGTCGTCGCGCATCATTGCAAAATGCAGAAGATTGTGCAACGCGTGTTAATCCGGACACAGTGTCTGAATATTAATCCAACAAGATCTCGTACTATTTTTTCGCTCGATGCAAGAGGTGTGTCGCAACAAGAGTCAGATAAGAATTTTCGCTTCCTACTGTTCGAGAGTTCTTCCTATCGGCACGTCTTTCGTGGCCAGTTCGGTGATAAACACGAAACTAGTGAAAAATATGTCATATACCGGGTAAATATCACAGTGATTAGACTCAAATATATTCCGCACACTTTCCATTCTTGTTTTGTCTGAGCTTCTTGCAACCGGTTCTTGGAACAAGCTAAAATACTTCGCGAAAGAAGATCGACGAAGATCCTGCTTTTCGTGCACGACAATTCATCTACAAATTTAATTGGAAATTGGTCGACTGCAAATCTCCTTATCCAAAGAAGATATTCACCTTCAGGATTACTAGCGACGACAGAGGGTCCCTTTGATGGCCTATAAAGAAGTAGCAGCTAGCGAATCTCGAGCCTCTTGAGGCCAAAAGAATCTGATGAAGTGCATGGCCTGGAATTTCGATTCGATTATATTAAACTAAGTGAATGTGCGTAGAAAATACGTAATCAGTGTCTGACAATCACAAGTTATCTTTATCGTCGATAAGAGTGCATCGATAACTCAATAATTGTAACGATTTGTGACAGTAGACATCATTGATTACGAGGAATGTTCATCGTGCACGAAGGTAAATTTTACAATAAAAGGATAATTCAAAGGATCTTTCAAAATTTTCGTGGAATTTTGTGTCGACTAGACTTGTCAATGACTCTGCTAGATAGCCGTGGGTCTCTGTAAAGGGCAAATAGATCAATCGTTTCTCGCATACTCTCTAATGTGCTTGACGCGTATAGAACGAACAGGCTATTCCCAGTGCGAAAATAAGCAAAATTAAATAAAACAAGACAGAAAAGACGTAAGAAGCACATGACTGCTTGATATGAGCAAACTCGTGACAGCAGGCCATGATAAACCACCGAGAATAATTTAATCGACCGCAACAACCGTCAAATGTGTTCAGTCCTTTGCCGACATGTCCAGGAACCGGAATTACGAGACCTTTACGAACGACTGCAAGTCTCTCATTGAGTAAGTACTGAATGAAGACATTCTTCCATTTTCGAGAAATAAAAAATCGGATAAATTTTAACGCCGGATTAACCCGAGGTCGACCGCGTAGACGTGCTCTTATTAGTCGATGATCTAATCGGCTCGTTTGGCCATTTTCCGTGCCCACTAGGTGAACTGATCGATAACGTTCTGTAAAGTTCAGGGGCTTGTCTAATTATGGTTCTTGCTTGAAAACGGTCTAAAGGGGAAATATAACGACCGATAGGTATATCCTCAGGTAACGTTTTAGTGATCACGAGTATTTTTTCCTCGTATATTCGCTAGGAATATTTAGCAGGAATTTAAAATTAATTACTCTTAATGAACTTCGTTGGTGGTTAGCTTATCTTGGCTTAATGATCTCGAGTGTGACAATCCTTCTTATCGGGTTACATGTTACGTAATCTAATTTTGTGGATTAAAAATCGCAACGATAAATATCGATTTCGTGTCAGGAGCTTTCGATGCAATTTTCTTATCAGACACTTTGATATCTTACTTTATTTACTGTAAACTCATAATTCTGAAAAATAATTCTGAATATACTACGAGGAGGAGGTAAGATTTTCGGTTGCAAAAACACAGTAAGAATGTTAAGTACATAATTATCCGTGATAAGGGAATTAAATGTGAATGTTTGACTATGTACATGTCGATGTAAACGTCATCCTTAACGATTAAAGTATTTGCATAAGCCAACTATTCGGTGAGGTTATCTTCCTATGCCTGACCAGATTTCATTGTTTGTTTTATTATGTTCACGATTCGTCATCGTATACAAATAAGGTGAAATAAAAATGATAAAATTTACAAGAAAAAGTGAAAACACCATGAAATCCTGTTCAAAGATAGTCTCGTTTCTTCTAACTTGTTTATCGAAATCTTTTATTTTTCCCACTTATGCATTCCTTTAAACGATTCTGTTTGCTCTAAAATATCGACTTTGTTTTTAGTATTGGTAGGTAGTTAAATATTATTTTTTGTTCTCCTATTGAAAGATTTTATCTCTTGATAAGAATGATTTTACGAAAACGTGTCAAAAGGGAATTTTTGCTTATCCGTTATCTCATTTTGCACATTCAGCTCCATATGGAGGAGACATCAATATCGTAATTCACGAACAACAATCGTGACAAATTCAGTCACGAGTTGTAGAACCGTCAAGCGATACGGTACTATTTTTCTCAGATAAACAAATGATCAAATCCTCGTGATACTTCTTATCGATTCGAATGTAGATTGTGTTGTACAACCCGTATTTTCGGTTTAAAAAAAAATCAGGTACACAACGTGTGCTCTCAAATATACGGAATTTTACATGTCTTTTTTCTCATTTAACAGACACTGTTTTATTTTTATACCCAGGAAACGTTTAATCGTTGAATTTAGTAAATTGCAATTTCACGTCCAATATTCATATAATTATTAACAAGTAGAAACTGGAAATACAATCAAAATAATAGTGGCAAAATTAATATTAGATCAAGTATACTTTGGTAATTTTTTATCAAGCATATATTTCTAGATTTTGTACCTTTTAGCTTTACATATGTACATCATACATTTTTCTTCCTTTATAACACTTTTGTTACATTTTTCGGCATATTTTTCCAGAACTTTTAATACTCTCTTTACTTTTATTCAACAATCTTTAATTGATACATAGGAAAAATTATTTCTTTTTTCGCGGCTTTTATTTTGAGATAAATTTATTTAATCTCAGATTTTTTAAAATTTTTACGTGCGTACAACAATGTAAAAGACGCATGCGCAACTAGACAAAATTCGCGCGTCTTTCTACTGCGCAGGTCAGCGGGGATTCGACCAACCAAAAGGTCGCTCGCTTTTGCTTATATAAAGCTTTACCAGCGGTATCGTGAGTACATTCGCTTCGCGCGCGTCGTCAAAGAAGTGATACGTACAAGTAATTTTTTTTTATTGCTCCACTCTTTGCACAAGTGTTTCTCAGTTTTTATTTATTGCCATTTCTTCGCGTCTGTTCGTAATATTCGTTAAAGAAATTTCTTGTTATAAGGAAAATCAACGAAAAAAGTAAGAGAAGAAAACAAAAGCAATTAAAGCAGTCAGTGCATATGTATTGTTCATGGAAAAAAATACAAGTGGGATTCTACGAAATAGGACGTACAATTGGAGTGTTGAGAATTTTCCAAGAGAACGAAGGCTGTTCCTAAAAACGCTACGTAATTTCGTGCAACTACGTTAGGGGTGACGAATCCAAGTGGTCTAGAGAAAGACAGAAAAACGGAGAATAGGAGGAGAAACAAAGACGGCAAGAAAACAAAGAGAGAGGGAAAGAAAAGAAAGAGGAAAAAGGTGATGACATGCGAATTTCCTCTCGAATCGCCTATCGCATCGTGATCAATAGACTGTGATATAACTTGTACATATTTTATATTATTTTAACATCGTCTCGTTTGGGCAAAACGACAGCAAGGGATCGATATGACGAACACCATGGCAGAGTAAGTGTATATACATATATGTATACATGTGTACGCGCCTGC